AACGGTCCGAACCGGCTTTTACATTACATTTTTCGAACAGACAGGACATTTTTAGCGAATTTTATTAAAAAAGAATAAAAATAGCGAAATTAGGAATGTATTGTACGAAAACGTTTCAAGCTCACAGTAATTGGCAGTTTAATAGCTAGTGGTCTTATTTAGTGAAGTTCAATGGTTAGAAACCGTGCTGAACTTAACAGTTTTAAAGCCACTGAGTTAACAAAATCAGCTGTCACCAAGAAAGCGACTGTCGATGATAAACAAAGGTGTGTGTAAAGCGCGAAAGAAAGCAAAATGAACAAACAAATGCGATATTCCTTACACTCTCACGCAAAAGCAACAATAATGCACCAAAACAGGCAAATATGCACGAAGGCCGACTAAATAAAACTTTTCAATCAACGCACTTTATGACTAAATCAAGTCAATTTATTGGAATTTGGCTTCAGTAAACTTTTTACGGTGTGAATAACACAAATTAGAACTGCTTAGCACTTTGTAAACGAGTTAAACTTTGGAAATTCTTTCAAGCGAAAGTTTAAGTGACCGCACAGTACGAACGTTGCCAGATAAAACGATCAAAAATGGCAAAAAAGTCAAAATCAAATAGCAAGTATCCAAATTTGTCAATAGTTTAGAAATCAAAACAGAGCACATGTCAGTTATGCAGAAAGGAATGCTACATGACCTCTGTAAACAGTACTGCAAACTTTTTGCGTAACCCGACAAAAAGCTGACCTATACAACTGCAGTGAAAGCAGAGATTAGGATAAGAACCGATAACCCAATATACTCTCGATGCTATCCATATCATATACCATTCACAATTTTACAATTCCATGGAATCTCAAAGAACTCAGATCATTTCTAGCTCCATCAGGTTATTACCGCCGCTTCGTTAAAGACTATGCGAAGCTCGCTAAACCCCTGACAGCCCTTTTGAGAGGTGAGGAAGGACGCGTGTCCAAAACCCAATCAGCAAAAAAACAGATAACACTTGACGCAGAAGCAATCGCAGCGTTGCAAAAAATTAAAAACGTTTTAATTTCAAGAGATGTTATGCTGACCTACCCCAATTTGAATACAGATTTTGAGCTCACAGCTGATACTTCTAATTACGCAATAGGCGCAGTTCTGTCACAAGAAGACCGACCAATCACTTTCATTTCTAGGAATTTTTCGAAAACAGAAGAAAATTACGCAGCTAACGAGAAAGAAATGCTCGCTATCATAGGGCATTGAAGTCTCTGCGAAATTAACTCTACGGTTCGGCAAAAGTTAAGTTAAAATTTATACAGACTATCAGCACTTAACGTATGCGCTCAGTAACAAAAATAACAATAGTAAAATGAAGCGCTGGAAAGCGATCCTCGAAGAGTATAACTATGAGCTAAAATACAAACCTGGCAGAACGAACGTGGTAGCAGACGGACTATCCCGACCACCGCAGCAGGAGCAAATTAATTCTTTAACAGCGACTCAGCATAGTGATAAAAGTTCATCTCAAAACCTAATTCCTTACACGGATGACCCGGTTAATGCATTCAAGAACCAGTTATTCCTCAGGACCGCAGACACTTCATCTTATCAATTTAAAATACCCTTCCCTACTTATCACAGGCATATTATCGAAGAAACTGAGTATACAGAAGAGATATTAATAAACCATCTCAAGCGCTATTTAAATCCTTCAGTTACCAATGCAATCTTTACAGAAGACTACATCCTGGGTAAAATTCAAACTATATATCCGATACATTTTAGCAGGTATAAAATACGATACACACGGAAAATAGTAATACATTCGACTACCAAAAAGACACCCATTGAAATATTTTTCGGTAGAAGCGTTTACAGCGACCCGACATTAATCGAAAAGGACAGACTCGACAATATCAAGAAAATAGTTGACAAACAGGAAAAGGACCTTACATCCCATAACAAAAAGAGGACAGAGGCAAAAACTTATTCAAGTAATGACATCATTTACGTAAAAATCAATAAGCGAATAGGCAATAAACTCACCCCCAGATACAAAAAGGAAGTAGTGCTCGAAGACAGAGGAAATGTGGTTACAATCAAATCCGGCAGGTCGGTGCATAAAAGTCATATCAAGGCTCAATAACAAGAAAAAACATAAATAAATAGATTTTTTAGTATAATTAAGGAAAATAAACAAGTATTAAAATATATTAGGTAATTGAAAGATATAAGACAAGGGAGTTAGGATTAGGCAAAATCGATCAATATGCCATAGGCGTACGATTTTAAAGATATTTACAGGGAAAATATTTCTGAATAATTGAGTGTTCATAGTCACTAAATTAGAAATACATTTTTCAGTCTCATCGGCTGCATGGTTTATGCAGATATCCAAATCCACGAATATTCCTCATCCCACCTGATAACCGTAGATAACGGCAACTCCAAAATTAAGGTCGGTACGCTCAATTTCATCCACGTTACATTACAACCTTACACACGAGGCCCAACAAGCAATCGAAATGTTGGAAATCGTTGAACCTATCCGCAATCTCAGAATAAAAAGATCTCTAGATATTCTTGGCACTGCTTGGAAGTACCTAGCAGGAAGCCCCGATCACGACGACTTGAACATGATCAATAATAATTTAGATAAACTCGTAACCAACAGTAATAAACAAGTTTTTATAAATAATACCTTGAAGCAACAAGTTAATAAATTAACGAAAGCAACTAATGACATACTACAATCAATTGGAAATGACAATATGATCGCGAATGAAATAGCGTTAAATTTGCAAAACAGGCTAAGATTAATAAAGGAAGAAACTATTAATATAAAATGCGCCATACAATGGGCTAGGCTAGGAATCGTAAACACTATTATTCTAAATAAGAAAGAAATTGAAATAACTGTTAAAGAATTTAATAAAGAAAATATGCCCTTCAATACTGTAGAAGAGGCTCTAGAATTAGCAGAAATTAGTTTACTAAGTAATTCTACAACAATTTTATACATCCTGAAGATACCCTTAACAACAAGGGAAGTTTATAACAATTATATAATAAAATCAGTAATAAAAAATAATGTCATGATAAACTTGAAATTTAACAATGTACTTAGAAACAAATAAGAAATATTAGGAATTAAAAACCAATGTAAAAAATACAATAAAATTAGTATTTGTAACCAGGATGACTTGTTAGACTTAAGAAACGATTTCTGTATACCTAACCTAATGAAAAGCCTCAATTCTTCATGCCAAAAGATAAACTGTCACCATATTCCAAGAGACGAGCTCATCACGCCCGGGCTCGTTTTCCTCAACGATTATCACGGCAACATTTTAGTAGACTGCACCGTGTGAACCATGAACGGCACTTACATAATAAATTTCAAAAACGCATCCATAGCTATCAATGAGCGAACATACACAAATTTTGAATCACCCGCAGTAAAAGTGATGCCAGCAATTGCTCAGCCAACGCCAATAGAAGAGGCACTTAGTGAGCTACATATAAATAACACCGTAGAAATCCAGTCACTGCAAATAGAAAGATCAGAAAAACGCATTTCCGCAGGGGTTACTATTGTTATAGTAATTATCCTTTNGTAACCAACAGTACACGGTGGGCAGGAAGCGAAGATAGGTTGCATAAAAATGTCGACAAAATCTGAAAGCAGGGTTGTATTTGTTGATATCTTAAGGTTAAGAATCCGCTTAANAAAGATAAACTGTCACCATATTCCAAGAGACGAGCTCATCACGCCCGGGCTCGTTTTCCTCAACGATTATCACGGCAACATTTTAGTAGACTGCACCGTGTGAACCATGAACGGCACTTACATAATAAATTTCAAAAACGCATCCATAGCTATCAATGAGCGAACATACACAAATTTTGAATCACCCGCAGTAAAAGTGATGCCAGCAATTGCTCAGCCAACGCCAATAGAAGAGGCACTTAGTGAGCTACATATAAATAACACCGTAGAAATCCAGTCACTGCAAATAGAAAGATCAGAAAAACGCATTTCCGCAGGGGTTACTATTGTTATAGTAATTATCCTTTTAGCCAGCACCAGAATCGTCTTAATAAAAAAACTAAATCAGCAAGCAAGGTTGAAAAACCAGCAGAATCCGGTGCTCATGATAGCCAGCTTCAAGAAGCCACCATCCAGGACCCTACACCTGAAACAAGGACCTTCCAAGTTTTTCAGACGCTCGAGGACAACGTTTTTAAGGAGGGATGAGTTAACGTAGCTAAAATTCAAAACTCCAAAAATTCGTTCTCACGCTGATGCAGTGCACCTGCATTCCAATTCTTGCACGCGCATCCGCGAAATTGCTGACTACAAGTCTGGACACCCGACACCCTCAACCAAGGCCAAGGCATCGCACCTGTTAATTCAACGTGACAATGAAGATTCTTGAGATATAGACTTAAGTGAAAACAAAAATTGTAATCAGTCCTAATTTGAATAAACAACACGGCATGCTGCCGTAAAAAATAAGTTTTTAATAAGCTTAACTTCGGTTAGTTTAACTTATACAACTATAACCTCACCACGAAAGGGACTGATTAATGTACTATAACAAACCTACATATAAGTATGTATAATTAGATATTTAGCCACAGGAGAGTCTCAGAGAAGTCTCGCAAGTTGCTACAAATGCTCTCCGTCTGTAGTATGTAAATTTATTTCGGAAACAGTTGAAACAATTTTTAAAGTTTTGTATCCAGAAGCTTTTACGGAGATATCTTCGCAAACTTTTCTAAATATAGCTCAGCAATTTGAAGATAAGTGGCAGTTTCCTAGCTGCATTGGAGCACTGGATGGAAAGCATATCCAAATAAAGGTGCATAAACTTACAATTTCTTTTAACTTATCGCACTCATAAAAATACTTTACGCTATTAAAGGCACCATCGAGTTCAGGAGCTACATTTTTTAACTATAAAAAAACAAATTAAATTTTATTAATGGCAATGGCTCATGCTGAGTACATATTTATAATGTGCGAAATTGGTGCCTCCGGCCGCGACAGTGATAATGGGGCATTTGCAAGATGCAAGTTTGGAAAAATGTTCTACGAGCGGAAATTGCCGTAAGAAATTTGGTTAATTCAATAACTCCTGTTAGAAGTACATCTGTATATGCGACCTGGTCTACGAAAAGGGAGCTTACGTGCGAAACTAGTTTTCTGTGAAAAAGCTGTTAAAAGTAAGCAACTCGTTTCGTCAGTTTCTCATTATCTCGTTAATTGTTCTCCGCGCCGGACGTCCAGTAAGTGTTGTTGTTGGTCCGAATATTATTATATTTATTTTATATATTACTAGTGTTCGCCCAGCGGTTGAAATTCAACCGCTAAAATTAAGGATAGTTTATGTGAGTTGAGTTGAGCTGAAATAAAATTTGTTGGAATGGGGTAAGTGGAGGGGAGTTTAGCTTAGTACTTAGCATAACATAACATAGAATAGCATTAGATTCAATAACATAACATATGTAGCATAACACATCACAATATAACATCGCACATTCTTCAGTTGTATTTCTTTTTTATCCCTATCACTTTCTTCCTCTCTATCTTTGTCTCTATCGCTTTTAATGTTTATGTTTATGTTTATGTTTATCTACACCTTCATGTTCATGTTCATGTTCATGTTCATGTTCAT